CATGCGCATCTCGTCAGTAAAGCCAGTCCCGTGATTAGTAGTAAATCGCCATCACCTGCTTTCAGATGGAGCGGCATTTAATACACAGAGCCGTATTTCACTGACAAGCTAGGCGATATCGCGTTCATAATCGAATGCGATTCATCTGCGATTATGAACGCGATATTGCCTAATTGTCAGTGAACTACGGCTCTGTGTAGTGAATGCCGCTCAATCTGAAAGCAGGCGATGGAGATTTACTACCAATCACGGGACCGGCTTTACTGACGAGATGTGCATGACCTTTCGAACTGGAATCATGGCGGAATATCCTGTGATGTCCACTTCACAGGGCATTTATGGCAGAATGGAACAAACCCCTGAAGCGGTAAGAGAACATACAAAATGTGCAGAATGGGGGGTCGCGAGAACCAGGATTAAGAACCACTGCTTTAGAGAAAAGTATTATCTTCCCTATTTTTACCTAGGTGTTGTGAGCATTACTGAGTACACACATAATGTAATGACTGTTTAATTCATACTGGAAGCCGGAGGGCACCCTTGCGCAGAAACTCCACATATGCATAGCAGAAGTAATTGCAATGACAACACTCCAGGAAATCCCTAATATGGACAAACAAGCCTCTACTGACACCAAGGTTATTATAGTTTAGAATTTTTTAATTTGTTTTATTTTAATATCGTTTTTAAATTTGCTATAAAATTCAGTTTAGTTTTTATTAGTTTCATTAATATTTTTGTTAGTTTTAGTTTAGTTTTTATTTTGTGAACACATTTTTATTTAGTTTTTATATAGTTTAGTTTCAGTTTTATAGTTTAGCAGAATAAACAGATCACTTCCAGAGCGCAGGCCAAAGAAAGACGTAGGCATAATTGTACCTTAGTGAGGCAAACAAGCTTAATATCCAATGATGTGTGTTGAGATATTTAGTATGAAAATAAATGTAGCCTGATTTGGTTGTCTTTTCTTATTTAACCATAATCATGATATTGTAACTGTGGTGTCTTGCTCACTTTTCTGTGAACAGTCGTGCATAAATCAAAACTGGGACTAATGAAATTCAATAATAACGGCAATCGCATTTATCAGTAAAGGCTTATATTTGAATGTTATTTTAATTTATGAAGAATTATAAGCGTATGATGTGATTTAGCCAATGCACATTTGTTCAAAAGCCTGGCTGAGTGATCAGAAGATGCTAGGCAAAAGTTTTGTGTTGTTTACAGAAAGGACGCGGGTTTTTTTTCATCTTTTTTCAATCTTTTTTTTTTCAGTTAATTATCATGTTGCGCTGCGTGTCTGTTTTTCTTAAAAGCACCAACTTAGAATGCCTAATGTTGGTTTGATTGCTTGTGTTACATGATAAAATAAATAATATTGCTTACCTGATGTAATAGAATTAATGCGAGTGCGGTTCTGGTCTGGTACAGAATTAAATTAGTGCTGCTGTCAGATAATGGGTCGGGTGTTCTGTTAAGTACTGCTGGTGCACGTTTACCAAACAGGACCCGTGCAGGCTTTAAACTGCTTTGCGTCTCTCCGTCAGATAACCCCGTGTGCGTGATGCGCCATTACAGGTAGGCTATTTCCCTTAACCTCCATACAGCTTGTATATTTTTCCTCGAAGGGGTGAGAACGTAATGATTACGAAAACGATTATTTATTTTTGATAATTATTATTTTATTTCAGTTAGTTTTTCAATAACTGTTGTAAGTTTAGTTTAGTTTTAGTTTTTCATTTATTTTGACGTTTTTATTTTATTTCAGTTTACGAAATTGTTTTTTCATCAATCGTTTTAGTCAGTTTTAGTTTTCATTTACGAAGATAACCTTGACGGACACGTTGGCAATTGAATCGCCATTGGTTAGTAATTTTTTTTTAGTTTACTCGCCGGACAGAGAATATATATTGTTTGTGAAATGGCACAGTTTTTTAAATATCTGAAAGTACAGTCTTACCATCAGTCAGTCAAGCATTATAATATATTATGATAATCAAGTATTATTTAATGATATAACTTTAGTAATTAGAATTCAAACTTGGTAACCATGTATTAATGCATATTAGTCATTTTAACTGAACTTAGGACTGGTGGTGGTGCTTTTTCATCTTTTTCATTATCAACATGGATATTTTAATCACCAACAATAAGGACTTTATCTGTAGCCAGCACTAGGCTAACTCAGATAGAATATCAGCAAATTCTTTGATAAATTCTGTAAGTGCCCTGGTGGCCTGTATACAGTAGCCAGTATAAACGTCACAAGGGATTTATCATTAACACTTGTTTCACAAGGGATTTATCATTAACACTTGTTTCCTTGGATAACGTCATATGAAGCACCATTAATTCAAATGAATTATACTTGAAACCCAACCTCTGAGAAATACTAAAGATATTGCTATAAACTGTAGCAACACCTCCCCCTTTACAAAAAGCGCTTTCATGGAAAGGGATCTAATATTCATTAAGCTAAGCTTTATCATTTGTTTATCTGTATTACATCTGTTTTTTATTTGTTCAACATCAATTAAATTGTTACCCTTAAATTGGTTTGGATGTTTTTTGTATTTGCTAGTTCAGGGAACAGACACAGTCTCTATAGTGTGATATCTAGGTGAAAGAGTCTCTATGTGCTGAAAATTAACTGACTTCTGTGACGTGAAGCGGCAATATTTAATGATATAACTTTAGTAATTAGAATTCAAACTTGGTAACCATGTATTAATGCATATTAGTCATTTTAACTGAACTTAGGACTGGTGGTGGTGCTTTTTCATCTTTTTCATTATCAACATGGATATTTTAATCACCAACAATAAGGACTTTATCTGTAGCCAGCACTAGGCTAACTCAGATAGAATATCAGCAAATTCTTTGATAAATTCTGTAAGTGCCCTGGTGGCCTGTATACAGTAGCCAGTATAAACGTCACAAGGGATTTATCATTAACACTTGTTTCACAAGGGATTTATCATTAACACTTGTTTCCTTGGATAACGTCATATGAAGCACCATTAATTCAAATGAATTATACTTGAAACCCAACCTCTGAGAAATACTAAAGATATTGCTATAAACTGTAGCAACACCTCCCCCTTTACAAAAAGCGCTTTCATGGAAAGGGATCTAATATTCATTAAGCTAAGCTTTATCATTTGTTTATCTGTATTACATCTGTTTTTTATTTGTTCAACATCAATTAAATTGTTACCCTTAAATTGGTTTGGATGTTTTTTGTATTTGCTAGTTCAGGGAACAGACACAGTCTCTATAGTGTGATATCTAGGTGAAAGAGTCTCTATGTGCTGAAAATTAACTGACTTCTGTGACGTGAAGCGGCAATCAGATGGTCGGTTTAGCCAGTCTGTCTGTTCCCTGAGCTGGGCCCCAGTTAGTCAAGTACAAAAATTGCTCTAGAAATATGGCAATATGTGCCATATTTCTAGAGAGGAAAGCGGCACCACCCCCGGAGGGGGTCTGCCCCAAAAACTCGTACAATTGTCTATGAATTCTGTTATTCTGCGGGCACCACTTAAGACATCCAGCCATTGAGTGATGACAGTCTGCTATGTATCTCATCGCCACAGTAAGCAGGGAGGGGACCAGAGCATATTACAGTGTCTGACATCGTACTTGCAAGTTCACACACCTTTTTAATGTTATTTTTAGTGATCTCCGACTGGCGAAGTCGAACATCCATTAGTGCCGACATGAATAACAATCTTACTGAATTTACGTTTAGCATCAGCCAGCACTTATAAATTTGCCAAGATGTCAGGCGCTCTGGCTCCCGGTAAACATTGTACTATGGCTGGTGACTCTAGTTATTGATGATTCTATTGTATGGAATGTGAAAATAGAGCAATTTCATCAGGTTTCTCAGTGTGCATCACTGAGTGGGGAGAATCTGTTTAATGTTTTGATCAGAACAGAAGAGTGGTGTTTTTTCCCGTGTCTATACCGCCTCACCATAACCCAGTCATCCTGCTGCGTTGGCTCTACAACCGGAACCGAACAATGTACATGATTCGCTAAGCTAGTCGCATCCAATCTAGGGCCCTCACATTCTTACTGTCCTCAATTAAATTTTGGATGTGTGTCTCTCGTTCTGAGATGTCATCCTAACTATTTCCCTGCATGTATCACATGTGAATCCCTCGCTGCTGACAGAGACAGATACGCTGAACATGTGGCAATCAGGACAGGTGGCAATGCAAGGAGAAGCCATTACTCACCATGATTGTAGAAAAATTCAGACTCACCACAGTTGTTTGATGGACTTATAAAAAAAAAAAAACAGAGCGTGACAGAAAAAAAGAAGCAGTAGGAAATGCGAATGGAGATGCGATTAACAAGCTAACAAACTGCTTACACGCTGCTAACGCACAGCACTAGCAGTTTAGAATAAAAGATTAAAGGTAAACGATGTCAAATTAGTTTGGTAGGTAAAATCAGAAATATGGTGAGAATTAAATGATACTTTAGCGGTTAGCGGTCCAACAGAAAAACAAAGCTACACGGAGCTACAAACGCAAACCACTCAGCAGTACAGCAGACAGGAACAGGAAGCTCTTATTTCAAAAGCTCTCATTTCTAAAAGTAACCTTTAGATCACTATCATTGTAACGAATTAAGATAAACAAGTCATGCGCTTCATTAATTATAATAAAAGTAGAATAATATTCCTTGAGTTTCATCACCTCTCTTGTGTAGACTTATTCATTTTATTTATGTGGACTGTACTGCTTTAGCTATGACGGTTCTGGGTTATGAAACTGCGACAACCAACAAAAAAAATTGCTTCAGGACCTTATAGTTCCTTTGATATTGTTTATGCATTGGAGTGGTCTTTAATCCATTTTATATGTAATGCAATAATACATTAGTCTGTTAACGTTTTAGCCACAACTATCTAGCTTACAACCTCCTTAAAATTACCTAGTTAAATTCCTGTTCTATCTATTTCTTTTTAAAACCCTTTCTCCTCTCCACAGAGCCCTGTATATGTCAGCTCCTGGCTCGGCGGGCAGAGCTGCTTATGGAAATGAAAAATTTTGGCCAAGCCATCAAGGATGGGGACACCATGTGCCAACTCCGTCCCCAGTGGCCAAAGGTAGGAGGAATCTGTGAGGAGACACACATACACAAACCATGGCTTTAAAATCCCTTTAAGACCCTTTCCCACCATTAGCGTGAAATTATATCATATCATATCATAGGGTTGGTAAGCAGGCAGACTGCAAATGTAAATGAAAAACAAGATATTTCTTTGTGCTGTAGTAACTTATTGTTTTAATGGAAGCCCTATGTATTTTGCCAAACTATGATGCTCTTTGCACTAGTGTTGTTATGATACCAAAAATGTTGACTTCGAGATGATACCTGACTAAAATATCTGGATACTACTGAACCGATACCACGACCAAAACATAACACAACAGGAAAAGTAATTGAATAATAGATGATCCACATGGAGCTTATAGTTATTTTATCTATTAATAAATAATTGTGTGCCTGCCCTGCTTTTTGAGCATTTCATCCCCTTTTAAAAAGAAAAGCACATGCCAGTGCCACTACAACAGACTATGGTGGTTTCCCCCTAATATAATAGCTGGGGAAACACTGGATATTCATGTCACTTTAAAAGCTGCACAGATCCAATATATTGATACCCATGTTTTTTTTCTCAGCTGTTTGTTTACTTAAAGGGGTCATATGATGAGATTTCAAGTTTTCCTTTCTCTTTGGAGTGTTACAAGCTGTTTGTGAATAGATAAGATCAGAACAGTTCAAACCAAATATTCAGATGTGTGCAACGCATTTTATGGAGGACGAGGACTGTTTCCTGGGAGAGTAGCTTACAATGCCGGTGTTCCGGTGAATTCAGTTCCCCTGTTTCCCCTTCGGCGCGCATGCTAACCCTATACAGTCTATGATGCTGACAAATAATGCTGACTCACAGCCTGTAAGTACGTTTTCATATTTAAAGGATTTGCCACTGACGATTCAAACGCGAGTTTTGAGCAGTGTAGAGTAGCGCTTGTTTGTCGTTTCTCCGATCACAAATGCAGACATGGTTTTATGTAGGGCTGGACAATAATTCAATATCAATATGTATCGCGATATAATTTTTTTCAATAACGGTGATATGATTTTTAAACACATTTCTGATATTTCGATATACATTACCAGTGTTTCCCATACAAAGATTTATTTGTGGCGTTTGACTTCGTTGAATAAACATGAGCACTGCACGTTTCAAAATCAAAACACGGCGCGGGTGTTTTATATGAATGTATCTCTGAAGGGAATTGACTGTCTTCAGAAAAGTTTCGATGGCATTTTCATTTGATCTGATAAAGAAGCGTTCATGAG